CCAGTGTCATGTCTGAGGCATTCTTTCCGGCAGCCCAGAGCGTCTTCTCAGCTCAAGAGGTTGTGGCAGAAGCCACTTCCTTGTGGACTAGCAGGCCCTTGCTCTCTGTTTGCCGTGTTCCTTGCCATGCATCTATTTTCAAAGTTTACAACAGAAATTTCCTTTGAATCACCCTCTAGTCGCACTGGTAATCCATCTTTGAGAAATTGGATTAGATCAGGCCCACCCAAGTAATGGTCTTATTTTAAAGGCAAAAAATTGTGATGTCAATTATAGCTTTAACAACCCTTCACAGCCCTACTTTGATTATTGCTTTTAATTAATTAATCAATCCATTAACGTATTTATTTAACATCCTGACTGCAGTATCCTCTTCCTCCTCTACTCCCAGTCCCTTCCCTACCCCCTACTGCCCCTCTCCCCTCTGTTTCTATACAGAAAAGGGCAGGCCGCCCTTGGATAGTGACGAAGCATGGCGTATCAAGTTGTAGTAAGACTAGGCACCTTGCCTTGCTTTAAGGCAATGCAACCAGTACGAGGCATAGTGTCTGAAAAGCCAGCAAAAAAGTCAAGAGTCAGAAGTCCCCCAAGGAAACAAAGCTACACAGCTGTGACATATATATGCAGATTGGTTTTTAATTGAACAACGGAGAGATGGCACACATGTGTGGCAGGGGTCTGGAGGGGGAAATGAGTTGAGTATTGTCCCCATCATCTAAGCCAGTGGTACTCAACCCCTTGTGTGTGTTTGTGGGAGGGGTTCGAATGACTCTTTCACCGAGGTAGCCTATTAGATAGCCTGCATATCGGATGTTTACATTATTATTCATAACAGTAACAAAATTACAGCGATATGTTAGGAATTTACCACAACATGTGGAGCTGCATTAGAGGGTTGCAGCATTGGGAAGCTGAGAACAGCGCTCCAACATTTGAGTATCCTCTTAGGAGAGTTAAAGCAAGGGGCACACATCATGGCCACTTCATTCATATGGGTTACATTTAAGTGATAAATGTCAAATCACCTTGAGGATTTATGTGTAAAAGTGTTTAGTGTCTATATATATACTTTATAGTTTGGGTTCCTGAAACTCATGAGGATAAAATTCATAGCTTGAAGTCACATGGTAGCCCTGCCTTCACATTCTAGCTCCAAGACTCTAATAAACTATAGAATTTGAGCTCTGCAACATATTAAACATTACAATTTCCTGTTTAAGTATTATATTTCAAAATTTATAAGAGGGCTTATTTTTTAAAACATATGCACAGATACAGCATACAAGGAAGACAATGGCCCTTCTGTTACAGGCAGCTGAACAGATAACTGTTTGTACAATAAGACCACACTGTGAAAATGATTTAAGTACACTTTCCTGGGGAGGAAGATTTTTTTTTGGAAAAAAAAAAAAGAAAAGTAAAACTATTACCATTCTTTATGCGAACTCAACAAATGTAATCTGATAAATTTAGAAGGTTAAAAAATTAAGGATACTGGCGTGTGTTTGGACTTAATAAGTTTGTATTCTGAGTAATGGATGGCCACACTTCTTGGTCACCAGAACATAGCTGGTTCAAGTAAAAATGCTGCTTAAGGCAACATTCAGTACAACATAAAATAAATGGAATATAACCTCAGCTTCTCATGGTCAGAAGAGTATGCTTTTTTCCTCATGGGACTAGTCATACTTCACACTTGAACATAACCTCAGCTTCTCATGGTCAGAAGAGTATGCTTTTTTCCTCATGGGACTAGTCATACTTCACACTTGAACTTGCCCTTCTCTCGATTTTAAACGTTGTGAAAGTCGTTCGTAGGATGAATATGATCTGTAAGGTCAGACTGAGAACAGATATCTGTAGACCTGCTGGAGGCAGGGAGAAGAAGACCCATGGTCCTTTCTTATCTTATAAATGAGGAGAAGAAATCTGAGAATGTAGGGGGCTTTCATAAGCACCCAGCTTGAGCAATGACTGAACAGAAACATGTCTGTGCATCTTCTGATTTGAATCTAGTATTCATTTTAGTTTCCCAAGGGTGTTACAGCATTCTTTCACAGACACTGCTAATTCTACCAGTGTGGGAAGTATTTTGATGTTGTAGTATAGAAAATAGAGAGATAGTGTATTGATTCCCACCCCATTCCAAAGGTGGGGCTCCTGCCTTGATTTTGACATCCTCAGCCTTCATTTCTGATCTTGTATGGCCATGCTTACTGACTGACGTCACAAACTGGTACCTAATCATTTCCTTTGGTCTGGACTCTTAACAATACACAGCAAGATTTATGTTACTCCAGCGGTGGAGCAACATGAGTGGTCTGCTGACTCAACAGTAAGCACAGCAAGCATTTGTTTCTATAGAGACTAAGAGAATATTTGGGGGATGAATATATTATCATGGGATATATTTTCTAGAAGCCAGAAAGACTAAAATCGACTCACTTTTAATTACTTTTTGAATTCGTAAATAGATAATAATACCTCCTGTGATATTGACCTAGATTAAAAGATAGGAATGCCATGAGAACTACTGATGTCTGTAACACTTTAGTTTCTTTGGAAAGTGTTGTATATGAAAGGAAAGAAAAAAAGGGTCAAACTATGACCACAGCCTTTGACAGTGGATATTCTTTTTTTAGATAAAAAAACATTTGGAATTGTAAATAAAGTATAAAGTGTCACAAAGCAAACAACTTTAGTAAGACAGCTGATTGTTAGAACTTGGATCATTGGGACTTCTCTGTGTTTATATGAGATTTCAAGCTTAGTGTGTTCCCATGACCGAAGGCATTTTAGGTTTGTTTCTTCCTGTCTTTATAGAGACGAGTATATCCACCTTACTGTGTATTCCACGTAGAAGCAGGCTGTACTGGGATGCACACGATCTGCAGCAAATCTAGACAATGCTAGCAAGACAAATGACCTAATCTGGGTAAATTAGTATATCCATCTCTAAAATGGAATGGAGTAAGAGTAGTTAGCTTTCAGAGTCATTATGGGGATTAGAATTAGTAGCATGGACACATGGACAGGCTTAGTTCTGTGTGGGCATGTATTATAAACACCGAGGGCTAAGAGAGATGGCTCATCAGTCATTCAGTAGCTTCAGGACCTGCTTCTCTTCCAGAGGACTTGAGTTCAGTTCCCAGCACTTGTGTCTGTTGGCTCACAACCACCAGCTTCAGGGTACCCAGTGCACTTTTTAGGATTCCTTGGGGACCCACACACATGTGCACATATCTACTCAAATTAAAAAATAAGAGCTGGGCACTTTAATCCCACACTCAGGAGATGGGGCAGGCACATCTCTGAGTTAAAAATAATCCTGGTCTACAGAGTGAGTTCCAGAACAGCTAGGGCTACATACATACATACATACATACATACATACATACATAACCTGTCTCAAAAACTAATAACAATACTACTACTACTAATTGTAAACCGAGACTGCTTTTTCGTATCTGGGCCACCCAGACCCAAATAGTCACACAAAAACTATATTAATGACAGCACTGTTTGGCTAATGGCTCAGAAGTATTACTAGATAGCTCTTATATATTAAATCAACCAATCTCTATTAATCTGTTTATCACCATGAGAGAGTGACTTAATGGTGAGGTTCTGGTGTCTTTTTCCTTCAGCAGCTACATGGCGTCCCTTTGACTCCCCCTACTCCCTTTCTCTCTGCTCAGATTTCCCACTTGGCTTTACTCTGCTAAGCCTCTGGCCCAAATGTTCTTATTCATTAACCAATAGAAGCAACACATACACAGAAGGACCTCCCATATCAGCTAATGATGATGACAATGATGATGATGATCTTTAAAATTGTCCAACATCCTTGCTATCATTATACAGTGATTAAAAGGGATATTTTTTTTCTTTAACACGACCTTCTTCACATTTTCTATTTTTCTTGACCACGGAACATGAAAACATTGCTATAGGCATTTAAGAAAATAATTTCAACTTCATTGTGACTAAGATGGTTTTTAGTAATTTTTTTCTAAGGGCACTAGATGGCGACCTTCACCTTTAATTAATAAAAGAAAGTTTCACTACTTTTACTCCAACAGAGGTACTGCTACAAATTTAGAAGAAACAAGGGAAAGGCCACATCTCACAGCTGGATCACTGAACTTCTACTATGTCTAGGTTTTCAGCTTTGAAACTGGAACCAGAATGGTGGAGAAATCAACACCATGACATCACAGCCTTGAACTCAAACGTATATACTGCCCTGGACTTGGACTTTGTCTCCAGCCTTTCATCTTCTCCCTTTATAATATAAGGTCATTGGGTTAGGGCAGCTTATCAGACTTCCCTTGTGATCTAAATTACATATTTTTAAGCTAATGAACAAGATTTTTTTTTCTCACTAGTCACCAACATTATTTAAGTTAAAAGTGACTAACCTAAAAAAAAGTTTAATTTAGAAAGAAAGTGGTGGGTTTAGAGCTCTGACGTATATGTGGCATCCTGGCTTAAATCATGCCTTTAATGGGCAGAAGAAGCACTTAAAAACTGTCTTTGTTGCAGACAGGATGAGACATGGGGAGAGTTCACAACAATCTTTATGAAACTATTTTTATGTTTCCATAAGCAATGTTGGAACTGTTTTTGTTGTTATTGTTTTGCATAGAGTATTTTTTAAAAAGCCATTATTTTGAGAATTTCTGAAAAGGATTATAGTGGATCCTGTTTTCACACACACACCAGGGGCTGGAGAGAGGACAGGAAAGTAACCATCACCATCACAAACAACTGAATCTGGGTAGAGGTACCTGCTTCCCTTAAGAAATCCAGATGTTGTGCTTAGTAATTCTAACCTAATGTAACCAGGTGAGTACAGCTAGCACTAGGTAATAGAAAGATTTCCAAAAGAAAATATATTTTAGGGTTTATTTAAAAACCAAACCATAAGATTACTTTTCTTTTATGTATTGATTCAGACCAGGTAGTTTATTTGATTCTTTGCTGTTTGTTTGTTATTTGTAAGTAAGAATCAGTTTTTCTTTTTAAAGGAAAGTGATCATTAGTTAAGAGAAACTCTGGGTTTTAGTATCATCTACTAAAATTTGTTAACTTGTTGCTCATTACCTGAAAGAATGCCCCCCCATACACCAAACAAATGGAATACAGTTACTTTTGTTTTTTGTAAATAGTGCTCTCTGTGGTGTACAATGGATATCTTTAAGGTGTAGTAATTACTAAAGACTCAGGATCAAAAGGCTATAATAATTCCGTTAGCATTGGCGGGATGATGGATGCTCAGAGAAGGGAGAAACAAAGACGAACTCAGTTGCAGTTTCCAAACTCAACTGGGAGGGTAAGCCAGCAGTTTAGCAGCTGCAGTAGCCACTTCAGAGCCTTGAAAGATGATATTGGGGTGCTCAACATACAATATTTAACTGGAGTAGATGAAATAAAATCCAGACTTTGAACTGTTCACAATCAACGCATGGCCTTTCAATTTTCCGTAAACACTTGGCTCATCATGATATGCTCATTCAACTCGCCCTCCAAATGTTTAGTCCACAATTTCCAGTAAAGTTATGTGCTACCCAAACTTGAAATTGCTCTTGCCCTGTCGGTCATTCTTATTAGTGAAGGTCTCAAGCTCAGAACTTGACAGTGGGAAGAGATTCACACCCATGCGCCTTCTCTCATGACCACATCCAGGCAAGCAGAGCGGAAAAGAAAGAAATGGCGAAAACAAAGATGGGTTTCTTTAGGTTGTCTAAAGGCAATTTAATATTTATGAAATGTCTCCTACACACATACACATTCTCTCTCTCTCTCTCTCTGTCTCTCTCTGTCTCTCTCTCTCTCTCTCTCTCTCTCTCTCTCTCTCTCTGGATCCTGTTACAAGCACTGCGTCATCCTCGAGCGATCACATGGTAATTGTTGCTATTTCAAGGATCAAGTGTCATAAAGCACCCCATCCCACTCCCTTCTTTTGGTACCATATAGCCTAGAAGAGTTTCTGTGTGATGGAGTGAGAGCAGACTCTCTCTGGTCCAACCAGGTTCTCGGTGGGGTGGCGCGCTCGCGTATTCTCACCAAGCGACTGGGAAAGGGGGACGAGGGAGGGGGGTCTCAGGGGAGGAAGGGCGGCTCTAATTGGTTTCTCAATGAAAGATAATCACCTATTCCCCAGAGACGCTAGGGATTAGCACTCTGCCTCTCCTCTCCTTCCTTTTAGACGCCTCATCCTCCCCTTGGAGCTTCTAGTCCATTCAGCAGAAGCGATCGCAGGAGCGGGGCCGCACTCAGTGCTCCGGGCTGAGCGCCCCAGTCCCCGGCTCGCTGCGCTCCTCTGCTGTCCCAGCCGCCGGCGCGCCGCGGGAGGAAAAGTTTCGAGAGCGGGGGGGATCTGGCTTAACCATAAAAAATGAGCGAACTGGAGGAAGACTTTGCGAAGATTCTCATGCTCAAGGAGGAGAGGATCAAGGAGCTGGAAAAGCGGCTGTCAGAGAAGGAGGAAGAAATCCAGGAGCTGAAGAGGAAGCTCCACAAATGCCAGTCGGTGCTGCCAGTGCCCTCCACCCACATCGGCCCGCGGACCACCCGGGCACAGGGCATCTCTGCCGAGCCTCAGACTTATAGGTCCTTCCACGACCTGCGCCAGGCGTTCCGGAAGTTCACCAAATCCGAGAGGTAGGCTCAGGGCGTCGTGGGGTAAGGGCCACTCTCTCCTGGCGTCCGTGGGGACTGTGCTCGGGGCCGGGGGCTGCGGCTCCAGGATAGCGCAGGGCGCCCCCTGCTCGCCGTGGCGGTCCGGGAAGGGGAAGTGTTTATTTTTGTTTCTGCGCATCACGTGCTGTGGTTGTCTCCGGCGGGCTGGGAAAAGGCAAGCTCTTCGCGGAGACGCGCCCCTGTGGCGTGGGGGTGGGGAGAAGGATCGCGGAAAGTTTGCTACCCTGCGCTCGACGGCTCGGGCTGCTGCCTCTCCGGGTGCCCACACTGGGACTGAACCCTGACCGTCCCCAGGCCTGGAGAACCTCCCCGAGGCGACCCCTGGGCCCAGGCCGCGGAGTGACCTGAGGCTGGTTGGGGTCGAGTTCAGTTTAGGGACAGAGTTTGTCTGGATACAGTGAGCTTTGCCAAGAGGGCTGTGGCCGGCTTGGGGCGGACCGAGGGCTGGTCCCCACCCAATAGATCTATCCTCCAGCAAAGGATTGGGAGGGGAGGGTTATTCACAGGGTTACTGTCAGGGGAGTTGTGACGTCATCAAGAGAAGGCCACGAAACCCCACCTCTGGGTGCTCATTTGCTCCGCTTCTATTTCTTCCAAAAGCGCCACTCTTAATTGCCCTGGGCTTCGTGGAGGTTGGGTCACCTTGCACGTGAAGCAGGTTAGGGACAAATTCTCAGCCCAGTGCAAGGGCAACAGCGGGTCTGTTTGCTTCAACTTCAACCCCTTCCTAAAAAGTTGGGGTAGGGAACAAAGATGAGTGCTTTCTCTAGGCGTCACCTCGCTTCTCACTCTCTTCCTCCCTGGCATTTTAAGAGCCAGATTCTTCCTTTTCAAAGTTTTGTAGCTTCTCCGGGGTGTTCAGAGGAGGCTGGGTGGATTCTGGCCACAGTGGGAAGATTTTGCACTCCACACGCCGCCTTCGCGGAGAAGCCTGATCGATCGGTTGCAGCCTTAAAGCCCTGTGGACATTAGGGAGAGGAAGTGCAGACTCCAAAGCCCATTACTGGCTTTTAGTCTCGGGAAGTGCAGGGCCGAAAGTGCATTTCTCGGGATATTGAATATTCCATTAGGCGTGCCTTCATGCCCGCCTACCTCCTACCCTTTCCCTCCGCTTAGATCTCTTGCTGTCTGACTTTGGGGCCCCGGGGGACTACTACCTCCCCTCTCCGCCTCCCCAACACACACACACACTTAGCCCTCTTATTTTGAGGTTAGCTGTTCTAAAGAACAAATCTTATCATAGGTCCCCTCTGGGCTATTTCCAAGGCCCCCATGTTCCTGCGCCTCCAGTATACTGTACCGACCCCCGAGTGTATTGATCACAGTGTGGGCAGGCAAAACGGACAACACGGGGGTTCGAAGTTGTCAGAAGACTTAGAGCTGGGAATGAGTGGGGATAAGAAAACAGGAATCCCCAGAAAGATACCACTTAGAAAAAAAGAAAAATGCGGGCTCTCCTGAACACCGATCTCAGAGGGCTTTCAGATAGCCTGAGTCACCGTCCAGTTTTGAAGCGACACTGGTACCTTTTGGCCCAGCCTACCTTGGAAGCTCCTATTGCCCGGAACGAGGCCACTCCCCTCCCACTTAGGCTGAAACTGCAGAGTTAGTCTTTGGCCTGGCCCTAGGTTGGGGAGCCACTGCAGCCCTGCCTCCGCCTGGCTGTGCATTCCGCGGCCGCTGCCCTGCCCGGCGCTCAGCAGCTGGAATCAATCTGCCCACCTCCTTAAGAAGCCACTTCATCAGCGGTCACCAGGCAGCTGCTTGCCTCCTAGGGCTGCCGGTTTAAGCTTTATCGCATTTTTGAAATTTCAGATTTCGTGTCTGGGCTGTGCCCTTAGAGTAAGAGTACTGCCTCGCAGCAGAAAGGAAATTCTCACCAGCGTCTGGAGAGGACTGGAGGAGGGAGAAAGCCCGCTTTCCCAGAGCCTGCCCTCCAGGCGCCAGTTTACAGAGACTCTCCCCGCCCCCCTTGACAAGCATTCTCAAAGAATGTGAAGTTTTTGTATCTATGAAGAGGAAATGGCCTCATATGAAACATCTCCCCTTTTGGCCCCTCCCCCACGCCCACCCCAGCGTTTTCTTATTGAAGTAGGAACTTTCATCTCAAGAGTGGCACTTGCATGATAGGGATTAAGGGCACCTTTATTTGTGTCTTGAACAAGTGTCTGAAGTACTTTCTTCTCTCTGTCCTGGTTTACGCAGAATTAAGGTAAATGTTTTCCCACGTGCGCGTACTTCCAAGTTTCCAAAAGGGAGCATGCAGTTTATTTTCAGTAAGGTGACGCATTAGCATTTAAAGAATTTTGACAGGTATAATATATGGGCATAATATCCATTGGAATTAGGCACTCAGTTAAAGGGACAGTATTAAGTTCTCAACTGCAAGACACTTTGGTTTAGCTAAGAGGAAAAACACTTAGAAAGGCATTTCTAAACGATGAGGGTTAATATCAATCAAGATACTCCCAGAATAAAAGAATACTTCCGGTATCTTAGGTATCTGGGTTTAGGAAGCAGATAGTTCATCTCCCAGTGACCTGTTGTGACTGAAACAAAAGGCTTTATTGCAAAGCTAATGTTCAGTTATAATTTGAATGATAGCTGTTAGTACTGAAGTCTCATTTCAAATCTTATTAGGACACTCCAGTTTTATACTGAAGAGGAAATAAATTTAGTTTGAATTAGGATTTTTTAGGAGGGAAAACTAACGGAAGATTTTCCTATAAATTTCTGCTTTGGAGTCTGTAATCTAAAAATAATTTACACAGTAGGTAGCAAAACATATCTTCAGCTTTCATTGCAGTGGAAGGAAACAGGAGAAGTTATCTACGGCTGTAATCAACTCGTCCAATTATCCAGATTTCCATGTGTCCACAGAGGATAGAATGCTTGTTCTCCATTAAGAATGATCCAAGTATCTAAGGAATGCTTAGATGAAAATTATACCAGGGAAGAGGACGGTCTAAGCTCTCGAGCAGAAGTATCAAGTGTACAGTGCGATGATCACGTTTAAAAAGAGAGCCTCTGACTTATTGCAGTTCTCACTTACAGACCCCTTAGGAAATGCTCTGTAGGGATCAAGTGATTATCACTGAAAACTGCGGGCTCTTTCAGATGATGGCGATGATATTTTAAATACTTTCGTTTTGCCAAAGAACTCCAAGTATTTCCCATAGATTCCTCTGAACTGGATTCCCTCTCTGTGTATGCTTCACATCCAGAATTTCCGACTTCTCTCAATTCTTTTCCCGAAGTTTTCATACACACATAAGTTCCTTATTTTGGCTGCCTCATTAACTGGTGTATACACAGGGGACTACGCACAAGTTTTAAATTAGCTGGAGCATGGGCTAGAATCAATGTTAACTCCTTCCCAGAATAAGAGCAGACAGTATTCCAAAGTGGCTGGAGTTATTTTTGTCTTAAATCCCTTGCTTCCTATGATGCCAGTTGATCAGCTGGGACTCAAACTTCCGTGGCACATAGATACCTTGGACCGGATGTCCCAGAAAACCCTTGCCGTTTGCATCTCTGATCCAATGCCGTTGCAATTTGGCCTTCAGACTAAGTCAAGAGGCAAGGCCTCATTTTGATATAAACAACTTCAATAAAGTGTGTTCGGGCTGTATTGTGTGGGTCTAACAATGGCTACTCACCCATTGTTCACATTAAAAACACACAGAGTTTTGAAACAATGACAAAAGGAACAATGAAGACAGCTTATCTTTCCCATCTCAATACTGTGCTAGAAACAGTGCCTCCTGATGAGCTGGCCACTGTTTTACTCTAGCACATCTAAAGGGTACCCACATTTGTCAGGGAAGGAGTTTGAGGCTCTAGTGACTTGCTTATAGACTCCGAGCTCATTGCTGCCACCACCAGCTTCAAACCTGAACCATCTAGTTCTGAGACCACATAATAGGTGTACTCTGAAGCCCCAGGCCAGGGCTAGTTCCATCTCAGTGAGTACCTCTCAGTGGGTAGAAAGGATGTACCATGAGCTAAACTGACCTCATTTGAAAGGGACCAGTGGACTCTTGGAGCCATCTTATGTACCTTGGATGGGCTTGCTTAGCTGTGACGTCCTCAGGCAGCCCTGCTCTTGTAGGACTGTTACTGAGCAGTCTATCAGCTTCTTCTTCGTGGGGCTTCTGTAGCTCAGTGTCCTGCTCCAGGCTGGGATGATAAACATTAGTATTGTGAAAGGAATTAGAATTACCTTTGCTTCCTTTGGATTCTCTCTGCCTTTACTGGGCGGGGAAGGAGAGTGGCATGTGCTTACTCTTTCCCATCTTCACATACCTCTATCATCAAAGGGAAAGATCAATGACTTTCTGATGAACATTGTAATAGTCTCACCACAACCTTGGGGAGAGAGAGAACACTGATTTAGTTGACTCAGATTAACAGTATTTTGAGCAGGAATTGAAGAGGAGGCAAGCTAATGGCATGGGATAAGACATTTTGGTAGGACAAGCTTCTATCTTGCCATGTCTTTGAAAGGGGCAGGTTTAGCATTAGGATGTTATATGGACTTTCAGCCCACGCTGTGCATGAAAGGGGTGGTTCCCTGGTGTAGCGAGGAGAAAACTGAGCAAAGCCTTGTGGGCATGCTTTTGAAAACACCTCAGAAATAGAAGGAAATTGTAGGTTTCTTGGTTGTGCGTCTGTATCTGAGATGCCAAATTGATATCTTCGGCATGCTGTTAATTTAGATTTCTTTAAGGGGCGTTTCTTAGAGCTCAATCCTGGTTCTGGAACCAAGAATGTTTACCAGATGAGCGGCCTGTGTCAGGAGTTCCTGTTCATTTGAATCACTCATATAAACAGAGGTCAAATACTTAGATTCAACCATGTATCCATTGAAAATTTGACCCACACAAAGCAATTTCAACCAGACCTGACAAAACAAGACATGCCCTTTCTTCTTCCTCCTTCCTGACCGAGGTCCTGTTTCC